CAATATCCTATATATATATATATATATATATATATATATATATATTGATTTATGATTCATGTTATTTTTTATGATAATGGTTCTTATTTTGTAAATATACATTAAAAAGAAATCATACGAAAAAAATCATACATAAAAAATTCCTACATGTCTCATTTTTTATGAACTAAATGTAGGCGAGTTAAAATAAGCCGTCAACAAGTGAGATATTACTATTCACGTATCTTCTTTACAAATCTCATACCGCCTTTGAGTCTGACTATTTCGAATTCACACCGTATAGTGAGTGCCTCATTTTAAGGGGCGCTTTGTATCAAGAATTTTTTCATACCTAAAACTTGATCCCTGAATTTTTAATTAAAAAACAATAACTTCATCCACCACGCTACGTTGTATTATTTGATGATAATAGCAATATAGTTTAATTTGTTGACTTTTTCTACAATATCACCATTCATATAAATTATTAACAATATCTTTACAACATATTGACTTTTCCTATTTTTCTTCGTATATCGTTAAATAAATAGGAGACTGAACGAATATGATTACGCAGAGGCTTGTAAGTTCTAGTCGAATAATATGAAAATATAATTGTAATTATTTAAAACTTATTAAATATAAATTTATAAAATAATTCAAATTATATTAAATTCAAGATATATTAGTTCAAATAAATATTGTAGATTAATTTAAGAATAATTTACAAAAATGACAATAATTTTAAAGTTATCAAATTGGAATAGTTATAAGTATGATATTTAATGACTATAGTTTATGTGAGAATATAGGCGTATCTAAAATATGGGTAGGTTTTTTTTAAAATATATTTCTGCTATTGTAATTGGCTGTCCTTTAATTACGCTCTCAAACTCTCTAACTTCTAATTATTAAATTAACAATACATAATTATCTATTAAAGAGTTTTTGTTTGCTTAGTGAGTGCTTTTATTTTTTTTGTTAATTTAATAAATAAATATTCAGGTATAAAAGTCGTTACGAATAAAACATGTAAACATTTGTATGAACTAATGTCCAATTTTATGAGCCAATTAAGAAATATTTTCCATTATAAACAAACAAACTTATATTTTTGATATTTGATGATAATGGCTAAACTAAAACATAAATACTAAGTTAGAAATATAAATACTAAATAAAATAAATAAATACAGTTAACTAACATACAAATGAATACATGGTTTAATATATATACATAAAAAAATAGTGAATATTAACTAAATATATTTTTTTAAAAAGATATGGATATTAACCAATGAGCAATACAAATGAACACATTGATTTAACTAAATATATACAAAAAAAAAAAAAAATACACGGATACTATCAATGGGCAATGACTCAGCGAGAAAATATAAATACTAGTGTGTAGTAGCATATTTGCTATTTGATATTTAAATAAATTCATAATAAATAAATAAAATATACTATAGCTATATGCCTTAAATATGTAGCAAAGTTTGTTATATCATGTAGTTTTTCCTTTAATAGAATTGAGTTAATTATTTAAGTCCGAATAATATAAGTTTGATTAAAATTTAAATTCATTAATTTGAACTACAATAGATGAGTCCATTTTGTTAAGCCCAATGTCCTTCTATCCCAGAGGCCCAATTTAGTGCCACGTATTAAACAACGTGACATACCAAGTCACACAAGAAGCCAATAGGATCATGTCATGTGTCAAAATAACACAACATTCCTATCTCAATCAAAAGCCAATAAAAATGTCATATGTAAAACCGTGAAAACGGAATTGTGGGAGAACAATATAAGCGTCGTGCAGCTAGGCGACGAAATACAAATGACGCGTCCTGACCAATAAAATATCGTCATGTTGATTTAAAAATAAGTGGTTACTCCTTAATGATAAGATCAATACTGAAGAGAAATAATAATTCATATAGAATAACGTGTTGTTAACAAATTATAACAAGAACAAATCAAAACACAATTACTACTAAACATCACACATCTCATCATTAATAATTAGAGAAAAAAATATTTTGGTGATGTAAACTAAAAAAAGTGAAATAATCGAGACATTGTCTTTTCCTAATAAGCAAATTAATGATTAATCCTTAAAATGCTAACAACATTATATCACTAAACTCATAAGAGATGCAACAGCAACAAATCCTCCAAATTTGGATGTCACACTAGCTGTGTTTGCTGCTGGTGGACTTGCAGTGTTGTTACTGGAACTCGAATCTGAAAAAAAAAAAATGAAGCTATATATGCCAGATATATAATAAGAGTCCGTGTGACTTAGCCGATTGAATAAAAATGTTGAAACTATTAATGTGTTAGGTTAACAATACACCTGATTAAATGACCTTAAAGTTTACACTAATATATACATACAAATGTAGAAGTGTCAAAGCAATGTCTAAATGGAATGAATAGAGATAAAATAATAAAATTATTAATCATACGAAGCGTGATATAATTAATTGAAACGTCATAAGTTGTTAAGATATTTACCGTTAGTATCTGAAGAAGTAGCGGGAGATGGAGCTGAAGCTTCACCATGGGCTATATTTATGCATATAAAAAGAAATACTCAGGTTAGTTACAAGAAAATTAATTATTAGACTAATTATCACATGCTCAAAGAATATTTACTGATAAGCTTTTTAAAAATTTCAAATCTATAAGATATATTATCTCACAGGCATATATTAGCAACAAAATCTATTTGATTTTTTTTTTAAAAAAAATGGATCTTTTATCCACATTATCTTAAATTGCTAAAAATCTTTTGTAATATTCCCTCGGTCCATTTAATTAGTTATCATGACCCTGACTAAAAATAATTGGTCATTTAAGAAAAATTAAGATAAAAACTAATTATTTTTTCCACCTTTTCCTTTTTTTTTTTGTTTTTTGACCTTCAGAGAAATATGCATGTCTTTTGAATGTGCAGAGTAAACCTACTCATAAAGGAGATATAAATCGCATTAAGCAAGCCTGATGCGATAAGCTCTAATCGAGCAAGGGGCAATCGATCACAAATCTCCATGTGGAAAACCACTCACCCAACCTACTCAGTCAATTCTCAAAGATAGACGTATATCACTACCTTTATTTTTACTCTAATAAATGTGGAGAGTGATTCACGTAATAAAAGGAAGAGTGCTAGTAATAACATGTGATCATACCTTTTCTAAGCATTTATATATATACATAGTTTGAATTAGATGTAATGGATTCAATTAAATTCATAGAATAAGAGGGTACCTTTTTTGCAAAGGGAAAGATCAGGTTTAGCACCACAAGCTTTTGCAAAATTTAAAGCTTCATCTTGAGTTACATTCATACTTTTCATGACATCAGAATTACCAAACACAGTGCAAAGGCATTGTGCATCATTTGATATCATTTCTTTCAATGGCATACAGCATGTTGCTGGAGGATTTTTCATATGTGCTGCCAATGCTGGTTGACATGGCATTAGTTTTTGCACGCATGGCATTGCAGAAACACTACCACTACCAACACCACTAGCTAAAAACGCAACGATCGTATTTTTATCCAGATGAATTCCATGAGAAAAACCCATCAAAAAACATGTCAAAATCACAACAACACATGATTTGGGATATGCTGCCATGGGTTAATTCTCTTGGAATATGAATATATGTGATATGAGGTTATTGGAAATGTGCATATATATAGGAGGAATGTTAAAAAGGGAAGGTA